TTTTTAGTAGCATATGTCTTCTATTAAGGAGAAAGACTCAAAAATAAAAAAAATCACTGGAAACAAATATTTTTAAATGCATAAAATAACACATATGCATATAATCATAGCAAAAGGTCTAGAAGGATTCCTCAAGGGTTATTTCTGGATGGAAGAACTATGGGAGATTTGATTCTCTTTTTGTTATTCTATTTTAAAAATAGATATGTTATTATTTAGTAAATAAGGATCATAAAGCCTACATAGAAAAGCTTTTTACATTTCTTCAAATTTTTTTATCCTATTTGACAAATACAACGAATGGTAATTTGTCAGTGACAAACAGGCAATAGTTGCTTTTTGGAGGAGAGATGCCTTAAGAACAAACCAAGTAACACTAAAGAAGAAATCAAGAGAAGAAGGCAAGGCATTTGGAACAAAGATGATGATAATGTGAATATTATATGTATGTGTGTCTTAGGGAAATATGGGAGAGAAAAACTCATGAAGGTAACTTCAAATGATAGGGACAATTTCCCTGTATGCTTTTTTCATTTTAAAATGAGCCCTGTCTTTGAGAAGTTTCCAGAAATTCCTTTGATGCTCGAAAACAAAAATGAACAATGGCTAGTATTACACATAGTATAATTATATACAGTATATATTATATCTAATGTTATTTGTAGTATGTCTATTAGAAGTAGTATAATATATGTACTAATATAAACGAATGGATTTTTGACTTGGTGATTCTGCCCCTGGGTGCAACTACATCCCATATTTGAAAACCCTGATGTGAGTCCCACCTTTGATTCTGATCCAGCTTCCCAGTAATGTACATTTCGGGAGTCTGTAGCTAATGGTTCAACAATGTGGGCCCTGCTACCCATGTGGGGGACCTATAGTGCGTTCCAAGCTCTTGACTTCAGTCTAGCCTATAGTAGTCATACAAAGTTTTCTAGAATTTTTTTTTTTTTTAAGAAAACACTTATTTTGAAAGGCAGGAATTACAGACAAGGCAAGACTGAGAGTGAGAAGATCTTCTATCTGCTGGTCCACCCTTAAGGTGACGTCATCAGCCAGCTCTGGGCAAGGCCAAAGCCGTACATCAGGAACTTCTTTTACGTCTCCGACATGAGTGACCAGGGCCTAAGTCTTTGGGCTATTTTCTCAGGCCATCAGCAGTGTGCCAGGTTGGGAGTGGAGCAGTAAACATGAACTTGCATCTATATGAGATGCCTGCATTGCAAGCTGTGACTTTATCTGCTATGCTATGGTGTTGACCCTAAATTTCAGTTTTCCTAAACTAATTACCTTGTATTCATTTTGAAATATAGCATAAAAAAGCAACCCTGAATCGGAGTAAAAATGTTCCAAATTTACGTTAGAAGTATGTACTAATCTGTGTGTTTTGCTTATTTTCATTTTGAAATAAAGCTTAAGACTTTCATTCAGAGGAATGAGGATTTGATTCAAACAGCTAATTAAGAAATCGCTTATAATCCAAACAACTGATTAAGAAATCACTTATAATCTGCCTATATGTTCTTTCAGCCATCTTTAGGACTGAGGATAACAATAAATATAAATGCATGTATCTCAGCTCTGCCTTTCTAACCTGAGGCAAACTGAATTATTACTATACCGTATAAATTCAGAAGTAGAGTAGAGGGTTCTTTAGGAATGTATATAATGAAAAATCTATGAGGATTTCAAAATACTTTTCAGCAAAATAAACCTGTTTCAAATTGTTATTAGGTCCTGGCACGGTGACCCAATGGCTAAATCCTTGCGTTACAAATGCCAGGATCCCATATGCAGGTGCCAATTCTGTGTCCTGGCTTTTCCACTTTCCATCCAGCTCCCTGCTTGTAGCCAGGGAAAGCAGTCAAGGATGGCCCAAAGCCTTGGGACCTTGCACCTATGTGGGAGACCTGGAAGAAGCTCCTGGCTTCAGATGGGCTCTAGCCACTGCGGCCACTTAGAAAGTGAACCCAAAGATGGAAGATTTTTCTCTGTCTCTCCTTCTCTCTATAAAGCTGCCTTTTCAGTTAAAAAAAAAAAACTTACTATTTTTAAAAATTTACTTGCAATGCTGAGAGAGAGAGATCTTCCATCTGCTTATTTACTTTCCAAATCCTTGCAAAAGCCAGGACTAGGCAGGACTGAAGTCAAGAGCCTGGAACGCACTGTAGGTCCTCCACATGGGTATCAGAGCCCACATTGTTGAGTCCTTAGCTACAGACTCCTGAAATGTACATTACTGGGAAGCTGGATCAGAATCAAAGGCGGGACTCACATCAGGGCTTTCAAATATGAGATGTAGGTGTACCCAGGCGCAGAATCAACAAGTCAAAAGTCTATTTCTTTATCTTCTAATTCCATTTTCTCACAAACGTTGTGAGCTATTCTCACATTTACATTATAGTAAGGATTTATGAAATGATGATTTGCTCTTAAGTTTTTTTATTTGAAGATTTTAAAGATTTTTTAGATACTAGTGAATTAATTAAAGGAAAAATAGAACAAATTCCACAAAATGGTAATTTGGAAAAAGAAAAGGATTTTTAAAAAATAATTGTTTTTAACATGACAGTTGATAAATTATTCTGAAACACTTTAATTTGGAACTGCTGAAGTATTAACAGTATATTTATGTTCAAGTAAAAGATATATCAGAATAAATTTTCTTGAGGAAAAAGCATGCAAAATTCATATATATTTGTATAAATATATATATTTAACCACAGCAGATATCTAAGAGCCTTTGGTGAAATGTTTGGACCCAACCCAATTCTGTTGTAAATTATTTATATATGAGATATCTATATCTATATATACATACACACACACACACACCATGCATACTTTAAAAACTTCATGAAAAAAGATAGGCTCATCTTAGTACACAAATTTTGAAGTCCATGCATAATATTTTAAAATATAAATTTTCCATAAACTTTTTGAAGATCTTGTATGCTTTTGATATTTTAAATAGAATTCAGGAGTTCAGGGCTGGTGTTTTGTTCAGAGGTTCAGGTCCTGCTTAGCACATAGTACATTGGAGTACTTGATTTCAGTCTTGGGTCCATTCTGGTTCCAGCTTCTTGGTAATACATATTCTGGGAGGCAGAAATGATGGCTCAAATACCTAGCCAACTATATTGAAAATTAGGGATTGAGTTCTGGCCTCTTGACCTTAACCCAGTCCATTACAGCTGATGGCATTTGAAGAACGGAGCAGTAAATGCAAGATTTCTGTATATGGCTACCTCTCTGGCTTTCTCATCAAATGGGGGGAAAAACTTCACAAAACCTCAAGGGTTCAGATGTTAAATGAAAATATCCTATCTCTACCTACAGTACTGACAAAAGAAGATTAGTGTACATACATACATCTCTCACTGTCTTACACACACACACACTGGATTAATATGTTTAACCCAGCTCCAATTTCTGACTCCAGTTTCACAGCAATGGAGATCTTGGGAGGGAGCACTGATGGCTCGATTCATTGAGCCCCTGTTGCCAAAATGGGAGGCCTGGATTGTACTTGTTTCAGGTAATGGCCAGCCATGGCTATTGCATGACTCTGGGGAGAAACTCTTCCTCACGCCTCACTAATCCTTTTGGTCTATTTTGCTCTCCCCCAAGAGTACAAAAAGACTATTTAAAAATGTACTCCTACTTTCCAAGAAGTTAGAACTTAATAAAATTATCAAATTGTTAATGGTTAAGAAGTATTTTATTTCCAAGTGAAAACAAAGATATAACTTAGAGGGAGCGGTGTGGGTGGGGTTTATAAAAAATATATAACTTATAAAATGGGAAAAATGAGTATAAACAGGAGTTTGCACGTGAATAATTTTTGAACACCCTGATACAGTCACTTACTATATTACTGACTTAATTTCAAAATGTCCATAGAATTGCTAATGAATCAGTAAATTATTATTATATAAAAATATATGCATCGGCAAGTGACAGCCAATCACTCTCCCTGAAAAAAAAATTGCTCACTCAACAATAAAACAAGCATATCCACTGATGATGCCTAATATAACTCTATCTTGTACTTTTACAACAAAAGGGAAATATTTGTTTCTCTTTAAGAAATTCTAGATACTTAAAACACCTGTTTTTGTTGGCATTTGTCATATAATGTCTTCAAAGAATAAATAATGACTATGTAAATTAAGATATGTTATATTTTTCTAGACTAATCACCAATATGTATCTAAAATTTTTTTTCCTATAGGAAATAGTGAGACTGAATCAAGTAATAATTTCCTTCAAAAATCACTGTACTTTGTGAATTTATAATACTTGGCTATTTTTATAAGATGGTATTACATGTATTATTAAGTTATTCATATTGAAAACTACTTCTTAATTACTACTCCTTAATTCTTCCTAATGATCTTTATTAACTGTCTTTCTGATCAATAGCATATTTTCAAGATTCTTAACTGAAGTTAATCATATTGCCTGTGATCATAAAGAGAAGGCAGCATGTCCATGTTAAATGGACCTACTTGTTCTGTCTCTTTCATTTATGAAGCTGAAATAAGTAAATAAACATCTTGAAAGTAATATTCTACTAAATGAAAAACCACCGTAAGTAAAACTACATGTAACATGAATGCAAACATCTTAACAAAATGTTGATCATCCCTAGATGCAAGTCTGATGTTTGTGCAACGTTTTTGCACTGGATTATGAAATAATGAGGCCCAATACAATAAAATGACAGAGACTATTAAAGAAACAAATATTTCCCTTTATTTGATTATATTACATCTACTCATAAGACAGTCACAATAATTGCAATTCTCAATTTACAAGACTATAAATAATGCCATTTAACTGAAAACCAGCCAGCAAATAGCAAATATATTTAAAATATTTATTCATGGGAGGTAATTTCTACACCACCTTATTTAGTAGGCTAGGAATTATCAGCAGTTAAAATCAGAAGAGCAGTGTTCAACATTATTTGATCAACAGGGAAATTGCCTTACTCCTTTGCCAGTTGCACACTGGTAGGTTTTGCTCCAATAGGTATCCCATATTTGTGTAAAGTGTTCATCAAAATCTCTCTCATGTCGTTGTTATATGAATCAAAGTCAAAAACATTCCGAACCACATTGGAGAGACCTTCAGTGGGAAACTTCTGTATTAAAAAAAAATTGCCTTATTTTACATGTAATAAAATACATATTATAAAGACCTACAAAACAATGAACAAGCAGAAATTAACTACCCTGGTCAATAACCATAGTAGTAATACATTTATATATATATAAATATATATATAAATATATAAATATAAATATATAAATATAAATATATATATATAAATGAGAGAGAGTGAATAGAATATATAGTGATAGAAAGAAGAGAGAATAGTTTCTTCTCTTATATCAACGCAAATCTCAGATTTTGATTCCAGTTATGGTCAATGCTTTCTGAAACCTCCTGTACTCACAAGCGGGTAGAAGGATAAAAGGAGTTTGGGTATAAGAACTAGGGGAAGCTAGACATGGTTAATCATCACAAACACTTCACAAACATTTCAGTTTGTATGAGATATAAATAAAAGAGGAAGCTGGGTGTGGGTTACTGACTGACAAATATTCGAATGTAAGATGCTAAAAATGTGGGAAAGTGGGAATAGACACATGAGAATTTTATACAATTTTTGTCTTGTAAGTCTAAAACTACTCTGAGATTAAAATTTTATCTAAAATGAGTACAGTTACCTAATTAACATTAAAATGTTGAGTGAATAAAGGAGAATATTGAGTATCTTCATAAGTATATTTAGAAAAGTCAGTTTGTGAATTAAAAACAACATCAAGGAATAAGAAGAGAAACATAAAAAGTATAGGAACCAAGGGTCAACAGGCTAATTCTCCACCTGCAAGTGCTGGCATCGCTAAGGACATCTGTTTGTGTCCCAGCTGTTGCATTTCTGTTCCACCAGCTCTCGGCTTAGGGCATGGGAAAACAGCAGAGGATGGTGGAGGCCTTGGGTGCTAACCTCACAGGAATAGGCCAGCAGAGGGCCCTTGCCTTCTGGCAGTTGCAGCCATTTTGGGAATAAACCAGTAGATGGGAGACCTCTTTCTCTGTCTCTCTTCTCTCTGTAAAAACCTGCCTTTCAAATAAAAATAAACTTTAAAAATACATAAATAAGGAATCAGAGAAACAGGGAAGAAACAGGGGAAGAAAACAAATATTAATACAACTAAATTTACAGTAGGAGTGGCCTCTGGTATCTTACTGGCTCTGTCATGCTGTGATTTTCATCAAAATCTCAGCTGGCTGAACAGAATTTTGTCATAGTTTCACAGGCAGAATAAACTTTCTACTGTACTTTTTTCTCCCTCACAAATATCTAATCTGACAAATAATATCTGTATTTATTATGGGGTATAAATATTTTGATATATGCATGTTGTCATGAATGATTGCATTGAGTTAACATTTCACTGATTCACATATGCATTTTTGGGGGCAAATCATTTAAAATCTATTCTCTTAGCAATTCTGAAATATATATTACCTTACTATTAACTACAGTGAACATGCTGTGTAATAGTTTGCTGGAACTTAGCCTTCCTAACTAGAATGTTAAACTGATAAGAACAGATACTACACTTGATCTTAGCCAAAAGGCTGAGAAGCGATGCCTTCCGAACTAGAATGTACTCCTTGGCCAGTTTCTCTTCCCTGCCCCTAATTTTCTATGTTTACTCTAGGGTCCTCTATTTGGGGTAGAGGTCAATAGTCATTAGCTTCCGACTACTAAAGATCATTATTTAGTATATAACTAGAATAGATACAGATTTAGAAATCATTTTTTATTTATTATTTCCATCATTAAGGCACAGCAACAGATTTCCATCCACCGATTGACTCCTTAACTTCACACAATAGCCAGGAATGGACCAGGCTGAAGTCAAGAATCCAGAACTCATCCTAGTCTCCCATCCTAGTCACCTGCTGCTTCCCAGCCTGTGCGTTACAGGGAGGCCAGCATGGCAGGAGGCTCCAGGACTCACCAAACTCAAACTCTCTGCTATGCAATGTGGTGTCTTAGCCACTGAGTCAAATGCCCATTCTTGACATGGATTTTTGTTTTCTTTCACAAGGTGCACTATATGTTGTATGTGTCACAAGAAATTTCATTCTCCTGCCTCCTTACTCAATAATCAGTTAATTCTTCCTTTTTTTGTCTGCATATCATTTACCTCAAACTGATTTTTTTTTAAAGCCCAGATACTACATGCTCATGATCAAAAATCAAACAATAGGACAGGATGGTTTCTCCAACATCTCATGAATTTAGCTCTTGCCTTTCAAACTCCTCAAAAAAAAATCCTTCTGCAAATTTCCGAAATTCTTGGTAACAAAGCACAGAACCTTGCAAAACCAATATGCAGCTTAGGTCATTGTGCTTCCATGTTCATAACTTAGACTACAGGTTATTTACATCATTTCATCTGACTCATGATATTTATAGAAATTTAAAGACCTAGTTTATATATTGTATAATCTGAGATTGGTGGCTGCTTTTAAACTTCTGTGTCCAGATGTTGCCATACCTGTAAGTGTTTGACAATGTTGACAACTTCCCTGGTGGAGTAAGGATAGTTGATGATCCCTTGGTCAGCCAAACTCCTCAGCTCTCCGAAGGCAGCCACGAGCTTCTGCAGGATGGGCTCAGGCACGTTTGGTCCATACTGTTTGAGCATCTCAAGCTCTGAGTGAGGTTTGGGGTTATCAATTGCATGACAGCTAAAAATATCACCTGAAGGAGAGAAAAGAGGCATATCAGCATGCAAATAATCCACTCTTCACCCAACAAGAGAAAACAGAGTAGTCATTTAGAACTATTGGTTGCTCAGCAAAGTATAGAAAATACAACCAATAGGTTGATACAGAGGAGAAAGCAACTAATGAAAGCAAAAGAAAACTGCATGGATTTACTTCTGTTAAACATTATGATGCTTGAATACTCAAATGTGCTTAATGGGAATTTTAAAAATTCTAAATTTAAAAAGTGGAAGTTTCCTTTATGTCTCTCCAGCAAATGTTATTGCATCTATAACAGGTACACAGTATTTACAATGTACTTCCTTTTTCAGACATGTATTACTGCTTCTTAAAAACAAAAGAGTACAGACATAAGTAAACACAGTGCTGGTGATTTATTCCTATTCATGAATGGTAATATATTCCTCATATGGCTCTGAGACAACCCTTTAAACTTTAACAACTCTCAAGTATCTTCAGAAATTATATACATCATGAAAACACATACCAAAAAAGGAGTAGTTAGTACTAACACACTCCAATTTATACTGGTATCTTGTGCAGATTGATGGAATATAACTTAGAGGTTGATTCTAAAAAAAATGGATCACCAGAGACACTGTCTAAATTAAAACCAAGAAAAGAAATGCAGAAACACAAGATTTCATTCATAATTTTGACAAATGTACTGTAAGAACATCTATGCTCAAAAGCTATGGATGAATTATTCATATTAAAACTACATATAATTATTTGATTCATTAGCTAAATGGTCAGGGATCAAAGGAAGTTAAATAAACTCACATTATTTGATAAATTCATTTTAGAAAAAGAGAACATCTAATCATGTATCAATAAAATCTTTACTATAGAAACCAAACTGTGTGTGTGTAAGCATAACTGATCACAATAAAAGCTATTTAATGAAGAAATGTCTTCAATATGCCAGGTACTTCCCAAGGTATTCTGCATACTGTCGTGATTAAAAGGAAACAAAGTTCCCCATGCTCATGGAGTTTGTATCTGACATACAGTGATAAGAAGTGATAGATGCAACATTAGAAGGTATATATTTTAAAGCAAAAGACAATGCTGGGATAGCACATGTTGTGTTAAGTAGGGGAGGCTGGTCTGGGAGGCATCACCGAGGAGGTAATGCCTGAGCATCGGTATCTGGTTCGCCATGGCATGAACATGATTAATTTAACATAGAAGAAAGCTAACCTGGTGATGAGGCATTCACCTCCTCTAAAATGGAGATAACAAGTGTTCCTACAAGGTGGTTAGGATAGTGGCAGAGCCCAGGCAAAGCATTCAGTGAGCGCCATTAGACCACTGCTGCTGGCGTTACTGTCCTTGGGATTATCATCAGCAGCAGCACTTTTACCTAGAGTACCGAAGAAATCGTTGCCCAAGAAAGGAAATCCTGGTCTGTTAGCAAGAACAATCATCCTAAAGTCCGGATGAATCACGACAACATTTTCTCTTCCACTTACATTGGCAGAATCTGAAAAATAAAATATTTATTTACTCTTAACTGATTTTTAGTCATTTCTAAGAATAAAGCTATAAAGCTTGATATAACAAAAATACTCAAACTACTCAATAATAAAGAGCTCTAGTATAACTGGCTCAATCAACTTAGTTGTAAAAAAGAATAATTTTCTTGAGAAAGAACTGAATACTGATGAAGCCCACCCTTAATTGTACAGGGGCTCACCTATATGTAAATTCAACATATATCTAAAAATAAACATGTCCAAATGTTGTCTTTCATTTCTTAAATCGGAATTAAGATATTACCATTTAAAAAAATAAATGAAATGATAAAAGCCACCAGTGAGAGGTTAAAAACACCCATAACATAATCTGGACTTTCTTTCACTGTCACTAACCAGCAACTATATTACTATATATAGATCATGTCCCCATACAGCAGCTCCTGTTTGTGTACCTGGAACCCACGGACACAGAAAGGTCTTTAAAACCTAGCCCTCTTGGGCCCTGCACGGTGGCGTAGTGGTTAAGGTCCTCGCCTTGCACACCTGGGATCCCTTATAGGCGCCGGTTCCGAGGACGGCCCAAAGCTTTGGGACCCTGCACCCGCGTGGGAGACCCACAAGAGGCTCCTGGCTTCGGACCGGCACAGCATCGGCCGTTGCGCTCACTTGGGGAGTGAATCATTGGATGGAAGATCTTCCTCTCTGTCTCTCCTCTGTATATCCGCCTTTCAATAAAAAATAATAAAAATAAATCTTTAAAAAAAAACCTAGTCATCTCAATACAGTGTTGTTTTTCCTATTAGTACTATGTACCATCATTATTTATGTAAGTCTCTGGAGCTCTCTTTGTCCAAATGTTTTAGGTTTTACAGAAACAGAATGGTATAATAGACCAAGTGGTGTATATTCCAGATAGGAATGCTAAGTCAGAGAACAATTTGAGAGGATCAAAGCAGTATTATCATTATTTGAAGAATCATTATTTACCACCTGTGTTTATTTACCTGTAGCCTTTGGCTGTCCATCCTTAAACATAATAGCTCTGAGACACCTGCAGTTTTACTTGAGGCGAGTGTATAAGAACCTCCATTCACAATTTTTCTTAGATAACAAAAAGCAACCTTCCAATCAGCCACACATTCACCACTATCACAATCAGCAGTGATGCTCTGTGGTCTGTGTTAATTTTAGTAGTGGAAAAACATCAAGGGCATTCATCCATAATGAGACCCATGTTACTAAGACAAAATAAAACAAAAAGCCCCAAATAAAATGCTTTAAAGCACTCTTGTTTAATGTGTTATCTACAAACATGCTGGAGGGTTACCAGGAAAGGCTCATTCCTTAACTACAATTTTGCTTGAACAGTTCCTTCTTTCCATGCCGGTGTCCTCATAATGCCTCCTGAGATTCTGGCTGACCTTTTTAAGAGACACTGTTCAGGCTAACGCAAATTCTCACTTCCTCATAAAGGTCCTGGTGAGAGGGAAGCTGACTTTTATTGGTACTAAGCTTAGGCTCAGATTGACAATCTTGCAGTGATGTCAAATGAAAATGCTTTCATGATGATGCATCTGTACCTTTTTAATGGGTTCATCTTTACACACTATTTTAGATAAGAAAGATCTGATATTAGTCTCAGTACATTTTGAACAACTTGACACAGGTTTTGAAGCATTTTTTAGGACACAAAATAACTAAAATTGGAAACTAGAAAATATCCTCACACTGCATTAGATGAATTCAATTTTTCCTTGTAGATTGAATATATCAGTAAGATTCACCTATCTTTATTTTTTTAAATAACAATAAAAGGGGTATGTAGAAATATTACAAAACACAGGATAATGCATTCTTTAGGTAAAATGTGTATAAAATTATATGAATATATATTCACATATAAATCATATATATCTATATAAATATACATGAGTTATATAAATAAAATGTCCAATATTTTTGTTTAAGTATACTAACCTAACAACAAAAAGATTTATTTTTTAATTTTTTTATTGGGAAGGCGGATATACAGAGAGGAGAGACAGAGAGGAAGATCTTCTGTCCGATGATTCACTCCCCAAGTGAGCGCAATGGCCGATGCTATGCCAAGCTGAAGCCAGGAGCCTCTTGTGGGTCTCCAGGTGCCTCTTGCGGGTGCAGGGTCCCAAAGCTTTGGGCCGTCCTCGACTGCTTTCCCGGGCCACAGGCAGGGAGCTGGATGGGAAACAGGGCCACTGGGATTAGAACCGGTGCCCATATGGGATCCCGGGTGTGCAAGGCAAGGACCTTAACCTCTGTGCCATTGCGCCGGGCCCACAAAATAAGTTTTAATGGGAGATATAAATATGTCTAGTTTTTTAAACTCTACAAGACGATGAATGAAAATAAATCACATACAATGAACGGAGAGAAAAATATATAGACTGTATGTTGCTATTTTCAGGGTTGAAAATATTTTCAAAGTTGAAATAGCAACTGAAACACCCACTAAAATTTTCAAAGTTTCTGTCTAACTATAAAAAGTAAAACTGACACAGCTAGATTGAGATGTATCACTTTTAGTAAACAACTGCCAAGAGCAACAATCTAAGTTATCTTTAACTTTCATTTGTTGCTTGTTAATGAGCAGCCAACAAAACCTATTGTATCAGACATGTAAAAACTGCATGCATGAAAAAAGTACCACCTGTTCATACTCACTTGCAACAATGCGTCTTCCATCTGCTAGAATCATTTCCCCATTTTCTACTAGAGTTTTTAAAATACAGGTGACATTTGTTGGTGCTTTATCAGCCTCATCTACCACCAAAACATGACCCATCTTTACTGCTTTAACCTTTGAAGACAGAAAACTTATTGTTAACAGAAAAATAAAAGCAGTCACTATTAAACTTCATCACTTATTGCTTGGGATTTATAATACCTGGTTTTATCTAAATTACGAATACCGCATCACACACCCCAAACAGGCAACAGTAGAACCTGCATAAAACCAATGGATCTCTACCAGAAGCTTCACATAGCTATCAAACAGCCAGCTTTACACTAACCTGGTTATTTTAGTATCATAATTATTCTGATGATTGTGATGCCCAGCTGCCTAGCAGCAACCCATACCCTCCAGAGTAGGAAAAATTTAAGTAAAACAAAGAAACGAAAGTGCTTTCTGTTCCAATCATGGCTATTAGAATAATGCATTTATTATGGCTCTTTAAAGTGTCTACACTTTTATTTGATCAGGAGCAATGGTGCTGAAGAGAATCAGAGCTCAAACTTGAGGGACCCACAGACACACTTAGGGAGTGTGGAACAGAAGGGGAGGTAAATATGAGAAATCAGAGAAAAAGCGCTGGAAGAACAGAATTAATCTCAACTTATAAGAACTTGATTATCAAAATGAAATGTGAAGAGTGCCCCTAAAAATTGTGAAAAATTGGTACTATGTAAAAACTATGCATGGATTAAACTTTGAACCATAATCAGCTTAATTTTAAATGACCAGTTTCTATACATCTCTTGAAGTATCTTCTTATGTACCTCATCTAATTAAGTAACTTAATAACGTGAGTTCAGATGTGATAAGCAATGAGGCTTAGAGCTACAACTTGGGCTACTTAGTGTTGCAGTCATATGCAGAATAGATTAAAAGGAAATTACTACACTTCATTTAAAATGTAGTTTTGGGAGCAGGATATAGTGCGGCGGTTAAGATATCACTTAGGAGACCTGCATCCCATTTCAGAGAGTCTGGCATCAAGTCCCAGCTTTGCTTCTAATGCCAGCTTCTCTGGCAATAGGTGACAGCTCAAATGCTTGGGTGTCTGCCATCCATGCAGAAGGCCTGGACTGCATCCCGGGCTTGTGGCTTTGGCCTGGCCCAGTCCTGGGCATCTGGGAGTAAACCAGTAGATTCGAGTTCTCTGTTTCCATAAGACTCCCTCTACTAGTCAAATAAATAAAAATTAAGACTCCTAGGTCATTGATGACTGAATGAATGATGACATTCTGAAAAAACAAGACAAAAGCTAGAAACAATTTTTTAAATTTATTTTATTTCTGATTTGAAAGGCAAAGACACACAGAGGTAGAGATTCTTTCAATCCCCAAATGGTTGCAAAGACCAGAAACAGGCCAGTCTAAGCTGTTCTTCCTCTGGGTTTCCCACCATGAGCACAGGGGCCCAACAATTTAGGCTATCTTCTGTTTTTCACAGGTGCATTAGCAGTGAGCTGGATTGGAAATTGAGCAGCTGGGACTTGAACTGATGCCCATATGGGATGCCATGCTACAGTTGAAGGCAGAGCCAGGAAAAGTTCTTAGGAGCTTTTATTTGAAAATGGGTAAGGAAGAGATACTTACAAATTTGAAAATAATTCTAACTTTTAAAAGATTGTATAAAATAACTCATAGATACAGCATATTATACAAACTACTCTGATTGCAAAGTTTGGGTAAATAATTAAGAAAACACAGATTAATAAATTAGCATGTTTTTTAGATTTATTTTATTTATTTGAAAAGCCAAGGACAGAGAGTAAGAGAGAGAGATCTTCCATATGCTGGTTCACTTCCCACATGGCCACAAAGCCAGAGGCTTAGAACTCAATCAGAGGTTCCCACATGATTGGCAGGGGCCCAAGTACTTCATCTTCTGTTACTCTGGGTGCAGGGAGCAGAAATAGAGTAGCTGGGACTTGAGTCAGTGCTTAAATGGCATGTTAGTATTGTAATCAGTGGCTTAACCTACTATGCCACAGCACTGCCCCATTTTTTTAACCTAAAAATATTTTATACCATATTCTAAAAAATACCCGATATGTTCAAATTTATGAGAGATTCTGTCTTCTGTCCCACACAGAAAAGCTGAAATACAATTATCATCTTAAAAAATACACTTGAAAATATGCATATTATTGAATTACTAACCAAAGGTGAATCTTCATACACAATAAGTCCATCCTTAACAGAAGGTTGAAGAGTAAGAGTTTGTACTGTGGTGTCCCTAGAGTAAAAATGCAACACATATTTATGGTCAGTAAAAGAATAAAGTGATGTTTTAGCATGAATTGAAAAACATGCATATATCATATATATAAATATATGCCACAAGAGTACTGTCCAAAGAATTTCTGTTCACAAAGCAAGTGTATAAATGAAACAATCCGGACTGATCTGCTAATCTGCTATCACTAGACACAAAAACCAAACTATCCCAGGTCACTTACAGGATGGTCCAGTTACTTCATCAAATGTGGGACATCTCAGCTTGAATTAAGGAAATCCATTTTATTTTCTTAAATACATGTTCTAGTATTCACTAGACTCTCTTTTAGCCCAATATTTTTTTAAACATTTAAAAAATATTTACTATTTTTTTTATTGGAAAGACAGCTTTGCTGAGAGAAGAAAGGACAGCGAGAAAGGTCTTCTGTCCCCTGGTTCACTCCCCAAGTGGCCTTAATGGCTGATTCAAAGCCAGCAGCAAGAGGCTCTTCTGGATCTCCCATGTGGGTGCAGGGTCCCAAGGCTTTGGGCCATCCTTACTGTTTTTTCTGGCCACAAGCAGAGAGCTGGATGGGCAGGGGAGTAGTCGGGATACGAACCATCATCTCTATAGTATCCTGGCACTTTCATGGGCATGATTAACCACTGAGCCATCAGGCCAGGCCCAAAAAGAATTACTGGTGAATCATCTTGATATTAAGAGCCTCCTCACATGATGAGATTGGAAGTTCACACCGCCCATGGGTATTCTTGCCCAAAATGAGGTACCTTATTGATTCGGACATTTAAAAGGGGTCACTTTTATATCTCCACTTCTAATTTAAAATCTGAAAAATCTCATGGCCAGTTTGATCTTGTCATAAGGGAAAATTAAAACTACTGTTAAGAAGTTTTAAGTTGTCTTTGAAAACTATCTCTATTTTTTCACAGTAAAACATGAAGTAGCAATTGCATTGTTTCGAGTACCTACTGAGAGTAAGACCACTTATGAGGTGAACCTCAGATCAAGTTGTCACACTTGTGACACTGATACCCAGATGCTTTTATGACACTATTCAAATTATAAAGTGTGTATCTATTTTTCTTTTCAAAAGCAACAAATGCCACACATTAATAAAAGATAAACCAAATAAAGCATCATGCAAATCTTTTATTTTAGAAAAACAACTTTAATCAAGAGCCACAGGGTAGTAGTAAAGGAATTTTGAGGCAGACCAGAAATCAAAGTCTGGTTCTTGACATTTAGCAATGTGTGGTTCTTAGACACGTGCTCTTGGGTACGCAATACGACTCATTCAGAAGGATCACTGACAGAATCACTGGAATGTTTCGCACAGCATCTAGCAGATATTAGGAGTATAGTTACATGTCCATTCCAGCTACTGTTACGGTGACTGAGTTGTTCCAACTCAAGCTCCTTGTCTATGGGATATCAATTTGATCTTTAGACTTCAGCACAGAGAGCAGCACTTCCTGGCCTCCCTTCCTTGACCCTCCCCACTCCCTACTTTCTGTTCCATTTGAGCCCTGGATTGCCCCCATTTCATCCCTCACACACTCTAATGCAGTGATTTGCTTTAATACCTCTCTCTCTACATAGCCTATAAGATCTAAAAAGCACAGAAGGTATCTGCACTGTTATTCACACTGTCCCTAACATATAACAAATGTCTGGCTTACAGAAGGAACTCAGTAAGAATTTGTTGAACTTAATAGAAAATACTAAAAGGAAAAAAAAATCAACATGCTAACATATGATTCAGGACACAGTGCTTTTATTGGTGAATCTTTCACAAATACAAAGTCTGGAACACACTCGAGTAAATTATTGATTTAGATTAAGGATCAATCTTTCACAGAAAGAATGACCCATATTTATCTATCAGTCTGTTTGTGAGCATATGTATTCAAAGTGTTTGCTCTCGAGGTTGACTAGTAAAGGGGCTTACTTTTATATCCAGTTGAGTTGAATGTGGACCGATTATTGTAGCAGATTAACATCTGCAGACTCCTCATTTATCAGGGCTTCACTTGGTATTTCTAGACTGCCTTATTTGTCTCCAGCTTAGAAGGCTTCTCCCTCTAACCTGATTTTTTTATAGATATATACATATCCCACACACATATATATACATACATGTATATTTAATTATCTTGGGGTCTGGTCTATTGTCACTGCTGACCTTTTATCCTTGCTCTCAGGTTTCTCATTACCTACTGCTCCCCTCAGGCCAACCATTATATATTGTTACTCTTTTATCTTCATCAAAATCAAATTAATAATGTATATAAATATAAATCCTGTAGAATATTAAGTAAAAATCTATAATGATAATTATTGGTGCTTATCAACTTCTGGCATGAATAAAATGTTTCTTACTCAAAATTATGAACTATAGTCACATATCCATTTCCCATATGGAAATTCACTGTAAGCAAATACTTCATAAAACTTTTTGCTAATAAACTGATTTTTAGGACTTAGAATAGACAGACAAGAACAGAGTGCAATTAACCTCACTTAAAATCACTCTTAATACTCTAGCAATAGAGAGGGGGGTGGGTGAGGAAGAAAAAAAAGATGTGTTTACACAGATTTTTATAGCAATACATGGAATTTTTCACTTCAGCCCTCACACATTTTATGGCAAACAACATTACACCTTCCAACACGAAAAAGAAAAAGAAACTGTTGCTTTATTGTCAGTAGAAAGGAAATTCAGTTGATACTTACTAAGTGTAGTGCTTAAAAGCAGATTCAAATCAGTGAAGTTAAACTGAGTTCTAGTTTTTAAAAGGCAAATAAATTTTATTCAGATTTGAATTTTTAAATTATTTTTAATTTTTTACTTTTTATTTTTATTTTAGATCATGCTTACATAGTTGATCATGGTCGGAAGGATCTAGGGTTAGGGAAAAGTGGGTGTGATCACTGTTTCCAAACTTTCTTTTCTTCCTGTTACTGGGGAAAAGGGGAGAGAACGGGAGAAGCCACACCCAGCTTCCTAACTGCCCTAGTACCCAGGTTTGGGGAATGGACATCCAATATCAATCCAGGGCTCCTGATGTGGCTCTGAGGGTTCTGCCCAGGTGATTTTGACAGTTCTGAAATGGTTTTTATCTTGCTGATCCAAGGATGAGGGAACCGTTCCAATGTCCATTGGCTGATACAGTCCACTTCAGAGTCTCCATTCACACAGATCTGTGCTGTCTTCACTTAGATGGTGTAGTTGTCCAATTCATTCTGTTCTCCTTCCTCTGCTGTGGTACCAGACGTCCTCTGCAGGACCCAATGGGCCACCATATCCTCCATGTATATGATGGCCTGCCATCTACTGCTCCTTTTTCATTAAGAAGGACTATTCCTTACAGGTAGGTCCAGACTACCTGGGCCCCACCAGACCCTTGGCCCCAGGGCTCATGGACCCAGCACCCACTGTGCTGGCAGGCCCAAGAACCTGGGCCAGGTGACCCCAGGCCCTGTGAACCCCGCCCCCCACCCCTGGGGCTCACGCAGTAGGCATCCACCACATAGGCAGGCACAACAACCCAAGCCAGGCAATCCAGGCCATGCACCAGACCACCCACACCTGGGGCTAACAGACTTGGCACCCACAAATGGGTCCAAGGACCAGACTTGAATTCTAATAGCACACAACTTGATTGATGAGATTTTTCAAAAGATTGAGAAATAAAATCTATATCTTCAAGGGAACAAGCACAAATTGGATAATTATTTTAAAAAGGCAAAAACAAAAATACAAAGAGAAACCATGGCTCTCAGCAGAGTAGTCTATGAAGAGAATCTGCAGGACAAAAGTAATTTTGCTCTGTTCTTATTATTGATCCTTTCATCTTGGGCATCAAAAGGAAAAGCAAAAGCTAGCAACATATGTAAAATGAGATGGAATTTAAAAAAATCCTTTGGCTTGTATTTCAGGGAACTGCTATGGTTATATAAGAGAACAATCCATTATCTGCTGCATAGTACTTAATAAGAAAAAGGCTGATATTTAACATAGTCTACACTATCATAAACTTAACTCTAATAAATCCAAAGTGCCTAAGGTTGTCCCAGGAAGCATATGAAATGACTCTAAAGAAGCAGGAAAAAAAGATAACTTAGTTCTTGGAGAACGCTTGATTAAAATCATTGTTAAGCATTTGTGGGCATGTTGGATAAAGATATTAATTCTCTGCATAAAAAAGCAATGGCTCAAAAAAAAATTTTCTCACAAATTTAATTTTATTTTGGCTATACCTTTTAAAATCAGTTTTGAAATTTAAAGTAAAAAGAGTTTAAAGTCAACAATTTCTACAATACTGAGGAAGAGTTAAAATACATCTTACATCACATTTCCTTATCCTAAAGTTTAATAAAGAGATGGTTTCCCAGTAACATAAGTTACCAGTAATGCTTGATGTATTACAACATTCAACTAACTGTTGACATTTATGTTATCACCAATTGTTCTCACTTCTTAACTATTGTACAAACTACAGCTGTCTATAAATTAAAGTCTGTGCCAAGAAATGGGATGCTTGAAACAATATTGTGTTAAATTCTACTCCTCTTTGCAATTTCTGTTTTCAAATTGGAGTAATTAATATTTCAGTGGTAACTTAAAATGATCCCAGATGTAAAAAAAGTAATTAAGTTTGTGTAAAGACCAGGTTTTTGTCAAAATAAGGAAAGAAATTCAACCTGTAGGCAGCAAGCACAATCTGTTCTGAAATGTTGCTTGTAAAGGTACACTGAGTTAATATCTTCATTTACTAAGGAGACAAAGATCTCAAAATACTGATGCTTATCTTGAGGCTTATGTTTTAATGAGTTGTGTTTTAATTGATGTATGATTGGCTTTTAGAAAAACAATTATACAATGATGAATGAAGAAAGAAGACACATCAGAGTTTCAAACACCTGAAAAAAATCTCCTCTGACTACATTTATTAAAGCAAAAAATGGCTATGAAAAAAGTCCACATAATAACTTGC